TGACCCAAGGTTAGGGCCTGGAATAAAACAAAGCTGCCAGTGCCAGTGTGTGGAGGGAGCTTGGGGCAGGGCCCAACCTGCTCGGCTCTACCGGTGACAGAGAAGGCTCCAGTGCCTGGTGAGAGGGACCCGAGAGCTCTGCCCTCTGGCTGCCAACTTAGAAGGGCCTGAGGGTTCTGTAGGCTTGGAATGGGGTGTCAGCAGGCACTCATGTGCCAGATGGACAGAGGGATGTTCCTGGCAAGGGGGCACCAGCTGTGTCCCTTCCTTGTCCCAGGCCAGGAGAGATGAGCTCTGAACACAGAGCACTGCCCTGCCCCGCGGGGTGGCTGACTGTGGAAGGAAGGGACTCGGTTCCCTATTGTCCCGCCTTCACTGTCATCCCACTGCAAACATGTTTGGGTCTAAAATTTTCTATAATTTAATACCTCCTTAATACAAAAACAAAGGTAACAACTGTCATGCTATTAAGGAAGGCTTTATTTTTGAAAGGACTATGTGATTTAATTGCATATGTGAGTTTTTATGTATGTGTATTTCCCTACTTGTGGTCTAAGCATGTCTTTATTCCTAACTGTGTGGTCAAATAACTACCTTTTCACTTTGGAGAAAGAAAATGTAACTTATTTAAATGAGATTGAATCATGTTTGTATGGCGATATAGAGGAGAGAAAGTGCTTTCCTGTCTGATTTCAATTCTGCTTTTGGTTTGCTTATCTGTCAAATGGGGACAGTGTTGCCCATAGCCCATGATTATCGTGAGGATTAAGAGAGGAGCAGGGTCTGTGAGGTGCCTGGTAGACTGTCAGGCATTCCACGGTGGCTATGTATTTTCACATGGAGAGCTTATTTTGGGGAAAAGCTGTGCCCTTTGTATATTCTTGAAATGTCATCCTGAGGAGAGTACAGTCATGCTAATGTGAGCTCAAATAAATGGGAATAAGCATTTAAGGGGACCCCTGCCACATGAGAGGCAGTCTACAGGTTGTTGCCTTAAGTCTTTAAACCACACTGTGAATATAGTTATCTTCTGTGATTTACAAATGAATGTGCTCAGCCTCAGTCAACAGCTTACACAGAGTTTGGTTGAAAGTATGCACACCTCTGTTGACCTTCTGGGTCCGTCGCTTGGTCTCTGTGTGACCACAGGCAAGTTATTTTCTGAGCCTCAGTTTCCTCCCTGGTAAAAGGAGTCAGTGGTTGGTCACAGGTATGGCCAACCAGGCTCTTCCCACCATGTACAGAAATATGTTGGGAAGCATGAGGTGGTGTGTGACTTTGATCTTCTGCCATCTGAGGACAGGAATTGGTGTTGGATTAAGCCACACCATCAGAATGGACTCCCCCAGTACTGAGAACAGCAGAAAACCCACACTGAAGTGCTACAGTGAGAGTGAGGCCCACAGCCAGGCTCCAAAGGGGCCTCAGATAATCGTGTCCATGGGGAGAAGCGGGGCATGCTCTTACCTCCCCTGCCACTCCCACCCTGTGGAAGCCCAGCAGCATACCCACCAGGATTTGGAAGAATAGAAGCATACAGATTGTAGGATTGAATGACCTTAATGATCTAAAACCACTTCTAGATAAACTGGATATTTCCATCTTCACTGTGGAAAACAGAGCGGTGCTCATTTTCCTCCTTGCAAGTGACATGGTTATACTGTCTTAACTGGGTGAGCTTTTATACTAAACTCTGTCCTAACTCACAGAAAGAAGGGCCACAGATGGCTTGTACTCAAATTAAGGTCACACCAAGGTTTTTCGTAGGAAAGAGTAGGCCATTTAGGGTAGATGCAGTGACAGCGACATCAGTGCAGCTCAGGCCGTCCTGAGATTTGGAGTTGGTTGTAGTCAGCAGAGGCAGACTTAAGCAAAGGTTGCTTAAGTTCTTCCAGAAAGATCCTTAAATGTCATGCTACACACCTCTCCCTGCACGTGTGTAGTTAGCCAAAGCTCTGTTCTGCCCATGGTTTTCAAAGTGTGGTCCCAGAACCAGCTGCAAGAGCTTCAGTTAGGAGTTTGTTGGAAATACAAAATCTCGGCCTCCCTCCATCCCACTGAATCAGAGACCCTGGGGGTGAGGCCTGGCAATCTGTGTTTTAGTCTTTGGGTGATTCTGAAACACGCTGCAGCTTGAGAACCTCTGCTTTCCTCTGCTCCATGAAGCCGTTCCTATGCATCTCTTTCGTCCTGGGAAGTCTGCAGGCTGCCCATGCTCTGACTGCTACCCTACTGGAAAGTCAATACACTCTGTACCCGGATTTATACTTGCCAGGGCATCACATCGTTCAGAGCTGGGGGTTTTCTGACTCCCGTTATAGTTTTTTCCTGGCCCAAATGGGTGTTTGGTTACACATGCTTAAAATATTTTCCAAGTTGAAGTTACCATGGCCACACCCAATGGCACAGGACTCTGGATCTTGAGTCATCCGTTTGTCATTGTACAAGTCCCCAGATCCTCTTTTCAGGAATATCAGCCCTGCACCCAGATGTTTTCTCTGCCCCCTTGGTTTTGGAGTGGGCCCTTGTATTTTCCAAAGAGACTAACCCTCCTGCCCTAGCCCTTGGCCTGCTAGTTCTCTTGAAGAGTAAGTCTGGTCTGTGGACACCACCTCGTGGGACTGATTGTGCCTCTCTCTTCACATGGGCCACTGAGAGAGCTTTCACACCAAATCTGTCCCATCTGTAGCAAGTGACCAGGCCACTGTATCTTGCTCTGTTTTTCCTAGTCTCACTCTTGGTTTTATCTGATTTTCCTTTCATTATTTTCCCTTTGTCCTTTTTTTTTTTTTTTTTTTTTGTCGTACTCTAGACTGATGTTTTAGTTCATCTTTATCATCTTTGCCAGCTGCCTCGATTAATTTCAGAAGGAATCAGTTTAAATAAAATTGAACTCGTTTTGTTATGAGATACAATGGATAGAAAACAATAAGCAGTTAGTCAGTGTTGTCTGTTAAGTGGCCATGTACACCTGGGTCTGTCTGAGTCCAAACCCCACACTCCCTCACTTTATCATGTGGTCAGGGTTTCCGTTAAAATGTTTTCTAAACCCACAAAACCAACAAAACTGGGAATCTGGGGTGGGGTAGCCAGCCAAATGAAGGAAATTTAGACAGAAGACCCTTTAGTGGGTGTTAAGTCTTCCTTCTCTAACATATAGTCACAAATGAACAGCTCTAAAAGTGGAGTAATGGGAACTGTGGCATGAACAATCTCTTCCTGAGGTTAGAGATGCCTTAGAAACACTTAGCTAAATAAACTGCCTGATTACCAAGTGGTTGTGGATACATTACAGTTCCATTATTGTCTGAGTGATATACTTTTCTCAGTTTACCCTGTAATTTAAAGCTCACATACACCTTTTTTAAAAAGTAGGTAACAAGTGTTTCACAGATATACCTACTTCTGAGTTAACCTCAACCCAAGATGCCTTGGGCGGGGCTCTCAGTGAAGTCACTTGGGTGTCTGATTTACTCATCGCATGACCTGAGCCATGGGGGAGGTGGAGAAGGGGAAAGAAGGCATTATGTCCACCATTCACTGAACATACACTGCTTGCCAGTTAGGCAGACGCTGTGCCAGGCACTTAATCAGCTTTAACTCTTTCTCTCAGCCTCACAAGTCTACAGAGGGCGGGCTTAACATTTTCTGTTGTGTGGCACTAGATGTTAATCCCTTCTTTAAGTTGGATAATAATTTGAAATAAGCTGGAACTTTCACACATTTGAGTATGAAAATGGATGCTGAGCAGAACTTAACTACAGTAGGACTGTTGTTCTTGCAGGATCTTCACTGATTAAGAATCAAGTGAGATAATGGATATGAAAGTACTTTGTACTACAACTTTAGTACAATGTAAGAAAGAGACTATTATATAAATGACATTTTGGTGGCTCGACAGCTTTAAGGGTCTCTAATTAATAGGGAAGAGCAGTTGAGCTGTTCTCTAAAGCCAGAGAGCCTACACGTTGTCTTTATTAGATCGAGGAGGAAGCCACTCGAGAAGGCTGCTGGACTGAGAGCCACGTGTGTTGGAAATAGACCTTTGCGATGATGAAACACAGATAACTGGGAGTGTAAAGATATGGCATGTTAGTACCTAGTTATTCTTGCTTGCATCTGAGCAGTATTTTAAGTCCATAGATTAGTTTCCAGAAATCTTGCAGCGAGAAGGAAGGAAATAAAATGTGTTGATTGAGTGACAGGCATGACACTTGCTGAGATGGTCCCCCATTATTTGTATCATTAGCAGAGGGCAAGCGTGTGCTTGGTGTTGATCATTTCTCCAGACAGATCTCGTCTTCTGCTGCCTAGACCTGCATCTTGCCGCTATCTTACTCTTTCTCAGACCTCAATGCTTTTTTGCCAATGTTGAGCTGTCATCAATTGGTCCCTCCTAAAGTCATTCTTGGAACCTGACAGACACCCTGATGTGATGCTGATAGCCAGGTGCCACTGCCTCACTCAGATATGCAGAGGAAGGCCTTCTGCACCGAGATTTCCTAAGCCTGTTTCTTGGACTTGTTCCAGAATTTTGAACATTTGTAGGAGAGACTTGCCTGGTCTTAAAGATGTGCTAAAATGGGTACCCTCACATGGAAGAGAGCCTTCCCAGCTGTAAGAAAAAAATAAAATCCAAAACTAGTCTCCCCTTGGTACATGTTATGTTGTGAAGTGATCCTGGGTATGATGCCCTCTTAAACCATTTTAGCGAAGGGGAGCGTTTAGGAAGTCATTGCTTCCTGGTAACTTAGTGACGACTTGGTGAGTCCCCCTGAGTTCATTTCATTTTGAAGTAAATTTACCACCACTCTCACTCACAGGCTCATCTGGGTAAAGAATGTCTTGTTCCAAGTTAGTGCTTACAAACTATGCTTAATTAATCCTTCAGCCATAGCTGAAAGCAAAGTGAAGGAGTTTGAAGGCAGAGGCTCTGGCTTCTCCTCCCTGGTGTCTGTAAACCACCCATGACCTGTACAAGCAGGTGAGCAGTGGAAATCTTTACTACCTATGAGCAGACTTGATGGTGAACAGAGCAGGTGAGGTGGTGGACCAAAAGCTTAGGAGGTGCTATCGGCTAGACATCTTCTGACCCACTTCCATGCAGACAAATCAAGAATGAACATACGGATTTTACTCCAGAATGGAGGCCTTCTTCAAGTTCATGTAATTTTTAAAAAATCTACTTAGCAGGGCTCAGTGGCTCAGCCTATAATCCTGCGCTTTGGGAGGCTGAGGTGAGTGGATTGCCTGAGCCTGTTGGTTCGAGACCCACCTGGGCAACTTGGCAAGACCTCATCTCTACAATAAATTAAAAAATTAGCCGGCCGTGGTAGAGCACGCCTGTAGTTCCAGCTACTCGAAAGGCTGAGGTAGAAGGATCGCCGGAGCCCAGCAGGTCGAGGCTGCAATGGCTGGGAGCAGCCACTGCACTCCAGTCTGGGAGACAGAGTGAGACTCCAACTCAAAAAAAAAAAAAAAAAAAATCTGCTTGGCTTCTTTGTGTTTCCCTCTGAGTGTAATGACTGGTGTGTCTTTGTTTTCTTTTTCCCCGCCCGTGGGCATGCAGCACGTGTGGAGTGAGAGCGAGGACTGCCTGCCTTTCTTGCAGCTAGCACAGGATTACATCTCCTCCTGCGGCAAGAAGACGCTCCATGAAGTTTTGGAAAAAGTCTTCAAGTCTTTCAGACCGGTAGGTGCCCGCTTGGCTTTTGGCAACAGCTTGTTTTCCACAGTGATTGTGTTTTGAATAACATGCGTGGTGGGGCAGGTGGGGAAACCTAGGATGACTAATTGTTTTTCTCCTGTCTGCCCTGTGGCTTAGAGATAGCAGCCAGTGTGGGGAGGCTGAGGGCGGGAGGAGGGGGAACGGGATGTGACACAGCTGTTTGCTGTTTGTCGCAGGGATGATGGTTATTTCTAGCATCACTTGAGTTGAGAATCCCTTATAGGGAAGGAAGCATACAGATCCTTCATGAGACAACTGAGTGTTCCTGTTCTCGTCCAGCAGGCTTAAAAACCAGGATGCTTGGAAGTGGTCTTGAGGTTCTTCTGTAGTAGTGGGGCTTACATTTGGGGGTTGCCAGAAAGCTGCATAAAGGTTATACTTCCATGTTTGTGGGTAAGGAGAAGGATGAAATTGGATGATGGTGCTTTTTTCTCTTTTTGAAGTCTCTTGCACAGTGCTTGCTTTTTTTCCCTCCCTCTTGGGATTTAGGAATCTATATTTCTGTGGCTAGCTGACAGTCTGTTTTCATTCTAGCTGATTAACCTGTAAAATGAATACTCAGCCCTATTTTGAAGATTACCTAGTTCTTTCTAGCTTCATTGGAATATAAAGTCAGATTACCAATGTTCCAACATTGCCCCCAAATTCAGTTTCCTGCCCAAGTGTTCACTGGTACTTGCTATAATTTCTAATTGCTTAAAAATCTTTGTTAATGCTATCCATTTCTCTGAAGTTTTCAAGCTTGTCTTTTCTTTGTACATAGTAAGCTTGGTTGCATAACAGACCGGGTCTTATATTCCACTTTGTAGGTCTGTTTTGTCTTTTGTTTCTGTGGATTCACATGCCTGATACCTTGTTTCTTTATGTGTTGGATTATTTCTGTCTGCAGGTTGTTGTATTTGAAAGTTTACATATAGGAATAAATTGAGGCCTAAGATGACAATACTTTCCTCTGGAGAGGATTTTTGTTTATTTCTGCCAGGACTTGGGGGCGTGCTGTCTGAGACCATTGTAACACCGTTTAAGGCTTAAGGCCTGTGGTTCTCTGAAGGCCCTGGGGGATGAGATGCCAGGCTGCAGGTTTGGTCTGTTGTGGTTCATTCTTGTTTTGAGGATGTGGCCTCTGGGGGTCCAGCTTAAAGGGGAAACAGTGTATAGTCTGCTCATTTGGAAGACCCTGGGCTTTGACTTTGACCCCCAGCCCCCAACTCCCTAGGCTCTTGTAGTAGATTGAGAAAGTTTCTTCTCCTTCTTCCAGGTCAGCAAATGCTCTCTTCCAGGTCAGCAGTTTTTTGTGTTTGGCCTACCTCTCCTGGTTCTAATTTTTCAATATATTTAAGAAGGCATTTTTCATTTTTTAATCCAGTTTTTTTAGTTGTTCTCAGTGGAAGAGTTGATCCCAAACACTTAGTCCACCATTATAAGAAATAGGATGTAAGTGACTTTTGTCACTTTGATTTGTAGCATTTGTCCAACCAATTTAGTTGTTTTGTTTGTTCGTTTGTCTGTTTGAGACAGGGTCTTGCTTTATTACCCAGGCTAGGGTGCAGTGGTTCGATCATAACTCACTGCAGCCTCAAACTCCTGTACTCACGGGTCCTTCCACCTCAGCCTCCTCAATTGTTAGGACTACAGGCACATGTCATCATGCTTGGCTAATTTATTTTATTTTATTTGTTTTAGAGGTGAAGTCTCTCTATGTTGCCCAGGCTGGTCTTGAACTCCTGGCCTCAAGTGATCCTCCCACCTCAGCCTCCCAATCCAAGTGCTGGGATTACAGTCATGAACCACTGCACTGCCAAATTTGCTTCTTGTTTATTAATTTTCTAAGCCATTTTGGCTCATTTAAAATAGATAATTGACTTAAAAGTACTTGGTGGTAGGTCAGAAGTGGAATGTGAGAAGAATAGACAAGAATGACTCCAGAGTGTCTTGCCTGAGCAGTGAAGGGAACAGCACAGTCATTGAGACGGGATGGCTGTGGGCGAAGAAGGTTGGGGATGGTCTTGTCAGCGCTTGGCTCTGGACGTGTCCATGTTTGAAATGCCTCTTGGACAGCCAAGTAGAGATATCACGTGAGGCAACATTTTTAAAAAATGGATTCTCCCGAATTTTAGCTAGAGAAGTATCTCTCCACAGACGATGTTCACACGACTACAGCTCTCCTTGCATGTCATTCACGCACCCGTACCAGGTTCGCTCAGGGGGCTCTTGCCTGTGGTACATGCAGAAATCACCTGCAGAATTGGCTTATCTGGACAAGGTGAGCTGCAGCCAGAATTCACTGTGCTGCTTTTCCTTACCAAGTCTATGGTTGTATTTTGGCAACCAGGCCAGCCATGTGTAACTGGAAAAAAAAAGGCAGTCCAAAGGAAAAAAATCCAGCTGCATAGCTGAAAGCAGTCGGATGGGCTGAGCATTTTCTTTCTAACAGAGCTGTTCTGTGCCGTGGAAGCCAACAGATTTGACTGAATGTAGCTGGACTTCCAGGCTTCATATTTCGTGTGGAGCTTACGATTTGAGGTCAGGAGGCCTTGACCTGGCACGGCCTCCTTTGGTGGGGAGGTGTTATGTGCTGCACCAGCCTCTGACTGGGCCTTTGTTGCCCCGCTGAGGGTAAGGTTGGTGGGAGGCACCTTCTCAGGGCTGGTTCCTCCCATCAGGATGGGCCCCAGATTGGACAAGAATCACAACCCCAAGTAAAGGACTTCAGCGATCACAAAATAGCGTATTTCTTCCCAGTGGTGCTGTTCATCTGATGGTTTTATATAAGGGACCTTCAGGGTTAGAAATGAGACACGGAAAGGATTTGCTGCTGTTGGTGTAGTTGAAAGTATTTGCTGAAGAAACCCACATGCTACAAGTTATCAAGTAAGTAAAACCAGCACATCAGTTCCCTGAAAATGGGTGAGAGTCTGATTGATTCATGCTGCTTTTTGTTTATGGTGGGTCCCCCATAGGAGGGGTGTTTTCACCTTCATTATAGAACAGCTCTGAACCCATTTTCCTTGGCTACCCGGGTACATTGCCAGCACTGCCCCTTGCCGCCTCTCCAGAGAGATAAATACCTATGCTGACAGCCTTCTGCTGCCCTTTGAAGCATCGGTCAAGCAGATCCCACCCACTTTGCTGAAGAGGAGAGCCTCCTCTGGCCTTCTTCAGTGGTCCCACCGGCAAGGATGAGGTCCAGCCACTGTGGCACTCTCTTTTAAGATACAAACTTTGTAGCTGCACCATTTCCCTCTTGCTTACCTTTCCCCCATGAAACAGTCAACCTCACAGTCAAAGTTCCCCCACCCCACAAAAAATCAGTTGTTGACTTTGGAAAGGAGAAAAAAGATCGTCTTTTTCCAGCCATCTTACTCCTTAATTCTCCTCTACTTCTTCATCATGTTTTCAAGAAAATGTGTCCATCTTCTGCAATTGCCAAAACAGTGCTTCGGAGGGTGAGGGGCGAGCCCAGAAAGGCCATGTCTTGCCTCAAGGAGTCGGCTTCGCGGTAGGAGGGATAGCCACATCAATGTGTGGAGAAACCCCGTGTTATAAGACAGAGCGTTTATCTGGGACCAGACATTCTGCTAGATGCTATGCAGGACGAGTTAAGTCTTGTTGCCTATTTTGCTTATTCTGCTTTGCTTTGCTAGCTTTTGGGGGAACTTTTAAAAATTTTTTTAGATTTGTGGATACACATGTATGTTCGTTACATGGACATATTGTGTCTCAGGTTGGGGAACTATTTATTTCTGAGAGGAATGAGGTTGTTCTACAGGTAGAGACTTTGTCTCTATGACAAATAAAATAAAAAAGATTGGCCAAGTGTGATGACTTGTGCCTGTAGTCCCAATACCCTAACCCCATGGGAGGAGGATGCTATGGTAATGAAGAACCCTAGTTCTGTGGGCAGGCTGCCTGGGTTCAAATCTCAGTTTTGCCACTTGCTGACTGTGACCTTGTCCAAGTTACTTTATCTCTCTGTTTCTCAGTGTCTTCCTGTGTAAGATTAGAATTTTTTTTTTTTGGCGTGTCACTCTGTCACCCAAGCTGGAGCGGAGTGGCATGCTCATGACCACCACAGCCTCGACCTGCTGGGCTCAGGCTATCCTTCCAAGTAGCTAGAACTACAGGCGTGCGCTATCATACCTGACTATTTTTTTTTATTGTAGGGACAAGGTTTTTCCAAGTTGCCCAGGCAGGTCTGGAACCCCTGGGTTCAGACAGTCCTCTTGCCTCTGCCTCCCAAGGTGCTAGTATTACAGGCATGAGCCACTGCACCTGGCAAGTTTGGAAATTAATAGTAATAGTTACCTTAGAGTAGCAGTGAAGGTGAAACAGTGCAACTTTTATTGGGTACTCAGTATGGTGCATTATCCATGGTGAGCACTAAATAAATGTTAGTGTTGATGTGGTGAGGATACGAGATGAAATATTGGAGAGAAATGAGCAGAACTTAGTGGGACAAAACCTTTTGTGTGAACATTAGATTTTTGGTGGCGAGAGAGAAAACAGTTTGCTAAGTGATTTCAACACATATTACCCAAAGTATCTGGCTAAGGTAAGAGATTTTGAATAGGTATTAGGGAGTGAGTCAAGTATTTTTGTCAACATTGGCTCTGGCAAAATATAAACATTCATGGAGTACCCAGTCCATGTGTTAGAGGTTGGAGGCTGGGGCTTCAGGGAGGACCAACTGGTAACCCTGACCTCCCAGGGAGGCATGTGACCAAAAAACCTCAGGATTTGGATGATTTTTGCCTTCTTCTTTTCTATATTTTTCCTGTCGCAATCACATAATCAGAAAACATGTTTTGTGTTTTAAAGAAGCCATGTTGTTTGCAGTGTGTTCGAAGTGCATGAAATACCAGCATGAGCAGGCTCCTTGAGGGGCAAGGAGCCAGGCAGTGGCTTCCTGAGAGGGCAGGACTTGAACAAGTGGCAGGACCCGCCCATGCTTAGAGCAGGAGGAG